AAAGAGATTTAGTGTTAATTTGGTCAGGTTTGGTGCATTAGCCAGATAACTCGTAGTGAAAAAAGCCATTACCTAACTATCTGGTACAGGACCAGGCTCAGAGGGGCGAGTTCGCAGCATATAAGCGACATTTCACAAGGGGAAACATATGATCGGATTAATTACCGGAAGCGCACTTGCGCGTACCAACTGGTAAGCAATAAAAACGACTGCCAAAACACGGTGCAGTTGACGCCATAAGCAATGGGCCGGGCGCGGAGTGTGGACGGGACAGGCGGGACAGGCGGGACAGGACGGGCGGGCGGCGTCTGACCCTGATGGTCGCCGCTGCAGCCTCGGCCGACCCCGCGGTGTGACCGGGCGCCGCGGGCCGTGACCCCGCCGTGACCCGCCGTGGGACCCAGAGGCCGGGCCGGGTCCGCGGCTTCCGCGGCGCCGCGGCCCAGGAAGCAGCTCGGCCAATGCGGCCGGATCGGCGGTCACCCACTGCCGGCGCGGTCTGACTCGCAGCTCGGCGATAAATGGGTGAGCCGAATCAAGGCAAAGAAATAAATCCACTTCGTTTTATGAGCGAATAGGTATAAAGGGAAGTCTGTGACTAGCCGAATTCATACCACACCACTCCGCCCGGAATAAACGCTGCGTGAGTCATTTGCCAGCCTATGAACAAATTTCGGCTATAATGTGCCTGAGAATAGGCAGCGACCGATTTGTATTTAATTAGATGTAATGGAAGGGTGCAGACGACGTAGATAATTTCCATAAATGCAGTTAGCAGGAACGCTCGTATGACGAAAAGTCAAGCCTGGAAAACAATCGCTAATGTATGTGACCTCATTTCATTGCCTCTTTAACTCCATTGCCTTTTATGTAAATAAAGGCCGGGGCACAGTATGTAATCAAAGAAACTAAAAAGTGCACTGCTCCTGTCATCGATCCGTGTTTTTACAAGACGTCAACTCGTTACAAAGTCGGCTCATCTGCGGCACGATCGTTCGCCGTCTGATAGGAGGAATCTATCTGCATCCTTCAGCGCCGTGGGGGCGCGTGTCAGCCGCTCCAGCCATGTTCGGAGCCACTCGATCGCCGAGTCCGGCCGGCCGCCGGAGGTCGACTGAAGGACAGATGACGGAGCGAGTCCTCCGCCGCTCTGCCCGCGGCGCTCTCCGCCGCTCTGCCCATGGCAGCAGCGGCCAGTCGAGCCAGCACAAATCAGCCGGATGATTGCCTTAATTCGGGTGAATTTGGACGCCAGATTGCGGTCAACGTCCAGCGTACCGTGTTCGGCCAGAGCATCGCTCAAACCGGCGCCACTTCCTTGTCAGGAGCATATGTTCGGCCACACCGGGTGGGCACGCGGCGCCGCCGGCTGCGAATTCCAACCGCAATCGTCCCTGAATAAACTGGGAGGGATCGGTATCCACAATCACAATCTGTCACAGCTATTCTCACGGCCTTGCCGTGCACTCTCACAATGCACACACTGTAAACAGCCCCGGTACTTCCAGATAACAGCGTCATTTTAACGGTCGGAAAATGAGCCGACCTAAACGCGTGCCTGACATTGAGGTCCCGGATGTCGGCCGTCCCGGTCGCCGGTGGAAATCCGGAGCAGTTACCCAGCTAACCCCTCATTCAGCAGCCCGGAATGTCGTCCTCTGCGCTCCGCTAGCCTGCACGAGACATCATCAGCAGGCCAGGAAGGTCGCCGCTGGAGCGGGCAGGAGCTCCGCATTTCTGGGAGCGCTGGACGGAGGAGGCGGAGGCGCTCGCGGGCGGCTCGGAGCGGCGCGGCGTGGGCGGAGGCGGGGCGGTGTGAGGTGAGGAGCACTGACCCGGGACCGCTGCACCGTAGGGATATTTCCGATCTAGCCTGTCTTAAGTCCCAGAACCGACTTTTCATTTCAATCATTCTTTCGACTTCATTTAGCGTAAAATTGTCTGAATTTTCACGTTATGTATCTCATTCTACCTAAAATAATATTTTTGAGCACAAAAAATGAGCCCAAAGTCAGGCCTTGCTTACCTAACACGCCGGGTGAAATTGAATGCTAAAAACTAGTACTCGTTTATGGGGCTGATAACTCGAAAACAATCATTTCCAGCATTATAAATCGCATATGGTCAAAAAACTACATCGTTTCGGATTATGCAGAGGCATTTCAATAACATATTTATAAAATTTTGAGACTCACACCGCCAAGTTTAAAATATGCTGTAAACGGGATTTAGCTCAGCAGTACGATTTGGAAAAACATAGAAAATCAACAACTTTCGACAAAAGTTGACACTTTAATTCTTATACCATTCGATTTGTCGCAGAATTCTGGTTCGGGAACATATTCAAACTTTTGCTACTTTTTGCTCCTCTCGGAGTAAAGCGGTCTATAGTATCGAGAACGGTACTACGGCGGCGCCCGGCTCAGAGCGATGAGGAGCATGCAGGCTACCGCGCGTTTGACCCCTGACCTGACCTTTCATGACGTCACATATTTGACGTCATACCGTTCAGCCAATGAACGACGGCACTTACTCTTGAAATGCATCCTATAGGATTACTCCTCCACCTGATATGACTGAACAACTGAATTTCGTCTGAATGCCAGCCCGACGAATATTGATAAGGGTGATATGCAAAGGTGGATATCAACTGCTCGAAATTGTTAATCGGAAATGACTCATCCATTTTGGCTGGCATATCAGCTATTGATTTATTACCAATACGTGCTTATTTTCTATATTTTAAATTAACGGTATTGCTTATAGCCGTAAGATAACAGTTCATCTTGTTGAAATTTTCTGTCACAGTAAATCGATAACGCGGTTTTGCGACGATCTTTATGCCTGATTTAATGTGCTTACCCTTTCCATCTTTCCATTTTTTTTTTCGTGGCAGACGGTTGTTGAAATATTGATCAGTACTGAATTACTGATATGTTAGCTGCATTACCTAAATGGTCTGGATTAACGACGGTGTGAATCAGGGCCTTGTTTCGCCGGTGATAGCAGCACGCTGCTTTTACACGTGTCAAATTGGGTTTCCATGGAAACATCAACAGGCCCATTGCTCCAACACTACCACAAGTGTGACGTCAGCTCGCGCAATTTGATAGCAGCGTGGTAGCAGCATGCCGTGAAACACCGCCCAGGTAGGTATTCAGAACACTCGGAGGATGTGCTCATCTTTACAGCCGTAGAGAGATTACTTGTGATGTTAGCATAGACTGTAATAGTACGTTCTAGGCTTGTTTAAAACTCAAAATGCGTTATATTTCATAGCACTTACTTTTATACAACATTTGAGGGCACTACAAGCCTGCACCCTTCACCCAGGAATAAAGACAGGCTAAATCGGAAAAATCCCCACAGTGCGCTGCTCCGCCGCCCCCGCCCACACAGCGCCGCCGCTCACATCACTCATAGTGGCACTCTTCGGGTCACTCCAAGCTAGACGAGAGCGCCCGAGATGGACAAGTGTGAGACTTGTCTGATGTTTGGTAGAAAAACATGCCAAGTTAACAGAGCAGAAGCACGTGTTGGAATGGATCCACAGGTGTATACTCCGTTCGTCATTACAAATGGTAAACAAGTTTGGCTGCACCGGCTCGTACAGCCTGAAATAGCGATGCAGAAAGGAACGCGAAGGGGAAAGCGGGGATGCCTGCGAGCGTCCCTTTGAGAGACACCCATACATAACCTTCTGCTTACTATGCATCACTTTCATTATGGTTATTATTCACGTAGTGACCTGGGAACGATGAGTTGATGAGTTGTTTGTCCACGTGTGGCGAGCGGCAGACGCTGCGGTCCGCTCGGCCGCGTATGCGCCGGACCCGGCGAAATGTGCGGCCGTCTGTAATTAGTCGGATTGTGGGTGATCCGTCTGTAATTAGTCGGATTGTGGGTGATCCGGCTGTTATTAGTCGGATTGTGGGTGATCCGACTCGAGGCGGTGGCGAGGTCTCACGTGACCAGCCCCGGCGGCAGGCCGCCGTGTTGAAAGGCCGGCTACCCCGGCTCCTTTCACAATATCCGCGGCATTGCTGCAGCTCGCCGACGGGGACCGGAGGGAGGGAGGGGTGCCAAGGAGGGCCAGGGCGGGCCGCGCCGCCGCGGTCACACGTCCACCATTTCACCTGACGGCGGTGACGTCAGACCCTGGGGCGGTGACGTCAGACCCTGGGGCGGTCAGTGACTGCCCGCGGCGCCGCCGGAGGACGCAGCGGCCGGCGGGCCTGCAGCGCAGAGAGCTCACTCTCGCTCCATGCTTTCCGCAGGCCGACAGGCTTTCAGAAACCACGGAAGGAGCACCAATTCAGGACTGAGTGAAGATATCCTCTTTCATTGATGAATCAGTTTCGTCGTTTTGGGATCTGTGGCTACAATCTTCCACAATCAACCCGTCCAACAATGTCACAAAACTGAACAGCGACCCCAAGCAAGGAAGCAGAGGCTCCAGGGGAGATCCAGGGTGGATGCAGGACAGGTGGCTAGGCCTTTGGACACTACCTAAAAGTGGACTTACCCACGAGCATACGTCTCCACATCTCTCCTGGAACCTCCCTTGCCCTGCACGGGACCAATGACGGCGACCTTTTTCAATCCAGGTCCTACAGTTGCTCCGTGGCGTAACCAAGTCACGGGCGTCACAATCCGTCACCGTCACGTTCCGTCCCCGAAATCGGCACCGGGTGACGCTGTAGAACAGGTCCGGCAACACGACAGTCATCGCGGAGAGACTCCGCTGGGCGGCGGGGAGGGGCGCAGTCTCGGTCAAGGACAGTCACGTGACCGCCGTGACGTGATGAGACCCACCGCCCGCTCAGTGTTTTAGTGAAGGGTGTGCCCCGTTCGCGATCTGGATCGGAGCGTTATTACACGCCGGCACTCAATAGCACAGCTCAATTTATGCATGTAAAAACGCCTGCCGCAGCTGACAGACACAATGCGCAGCGCCGCCGGACATGTTCCAATGTTTTTGCTCAAATGAATTGCATGTCATGCGCACGCCGGCAATCGGGACGAGAAAGTCGATCCCGAGCTGGTCTAATTGTAATTCATTGCACGCCACGTTTCTATCAGGGGGTGTTCGGCTCGGTGGTAACGCCATCGGCGCGCGTTTGTGTGCATGTGTTGGCTACCGGCTCGCCGGTGTTGCAACGACATGCAATCAGCAGCGTGTGGCTGGCGGGGGTGTCGAAAGCAAAAGATCCCGGCCAAGTGCGGCACGAACTGGATGACCAAATTCGAGTCATTGAACTGTGGCCATTCGACGGCGGCTGCGGTTTAGCGACGGGTAAATTCAGAGCGGCTCAGCTCCTACAAATTGCCGCGTGAAGAAATATGTCGAGTGAACGCCGGCCATTATCACGATGATTGGCTATTACGTCAACTACTTTCGTTTACAAAATTATGCGTATTTCACTGAGGAATTATCCCATCGAGTAAGACAGACATGGGAAACTGGTGCGGCGGCAGCAAGCTTCAGGTCCATGTTCAGCCAAGCTTCACCTACGAGACGATTTTGGACCGGTACATCGACTCCCACCTGCCGGAGCTGATGATGAACGCAGTGCAGCTCTCTGACCATCGCTCTTCCCTCCGTGAGTCTATTTCACGTGCGCTGTGACCCGAAATCGGCACCCCGTCATTAGTCGTGAGTTAATGTCACAGTGGACGGCTTTCATGGGCCTTGCTTTAGTCGGTCACGGAACTGGAGATTGAGAGCCCTATAAAGGTAGGGGTGGAGTCGCTCAGTGTACAGGCATGGGATAAACACATACTGAGCAGATTAGTCAATCACCCCGTTCATGGGAACCGTCGTTCGGCGCTGAGTAGCGTGCTTCCTCTCGGCGTGGTTTAGCTTTACACGGGTAAACCGGGCGTTCCAAAACGTTGGGAGCGGTTCGATGCCCAAGGACGACGAATGGGCTGACCTGAACGGGCATTCACATTCCTGAATGTCCATAACAAGACAATCAACGCTCCACTTCGTCGGGGTAATCTCCGACCACCATAACTGGGTCACAGAACGGCAGGTTTTAGTGCCTGTTCATACGCTCAACATCGCATTCATATTTGGGACTCATTCATGTAAGATATTTAAACAATAATATCTTTTTTAATGCTGCAAACGGATGACAAGATGGGTCGACCCCCAATAACACTAAACGCGGAACGGTTATCGACATTAGAGGCACCCTCATACAAATTCAGATGAATTATTTGGAAATTGGAATGGCCGACTATCAAACACCAGCCACTGCGCGTGTTATATACTTATGCAGCAATGTAGTCTCCCTGTTATGCGTTAGAAGCAAGTATCTTTCTCTCAGGATGAGCTCGCTGTGCCGCTTAGTGCCCTACGATGCAGGATACGATCGCAGAGGCAAACTGAAACGATAGTCGGCGGCATGGACAACATCAATGTCGTTCGCGACTAAAAATATCAATACTTATCAAACAATTTCAAGAACGTATAACAACACCAGTCAGCAAACATAGGTACTTCAATTACCGGCGTAAATTGCCTCTGGGTACACCGGTAAAAAAAAAGTTGAGAGGCTTAGGTCCGGCTGATAAGCATCAAACCCATCGAACTGAATAATGTTTTCACCGTAGAACAAAAGAAACACTCGACAGGACAAACAAAATGCACTGCAGTCTAAACCAGAGGTACGACACGCCGGCAGCCCTTCCATTCTGTACAGCTATGAATCTGCCAGTAAGGCGTCTTCACCCCGTTGATGAACCATTTCCGTCACTCAGTCTCAGACTGACAGAGCTGCCCCGCGGCGGGACGAGGTAGCTCCGAGACCTCTGATCAGGAGGAAGTGACAAGTCTGAGCCGGCCGACCGACCGACCCCGACGCCCTTGCTTTTTACGTCCGCCGAACACGCTAGCGGCGATCCCGACCGGCGCGCCGGGCTCGGAGCCAAGGCCTGATGACCTTGCGAAGACCAGCCACAGAGACGTGGCGTCTCATTAGAAGTGATTTATTAGTTACCCTTTCGGCACGCGTTTGCCTCATTTACACACACCAAACCAACCGGTGCGAGCCACACTCTGCGACCCCTGCCTGCCCTGGAACGAAAAATACTCCAGTAGGTCCCGCTCTGAATCCGTTCGTGCACCTTCACCTGACCTGACCCGTGCCGACCCCCGACAGCCAACTACACGTCCACGTGGGACGACCTGACCACCCAGCTGGAGACGACTCAGTTCGACCGGCGGCTCTCGATGCGAAACGAGGCGGCGCAGAAGCTGTGTCCCGAGGTGCCGCAGCCGGAGGCGCCTGCGCAGCCGTCTCGCACTGGCGACGGTCAGGTGGCGTCGCTGCCGCCGCAGCCGCCGCAGCCGCCGGCGCCCCCTCCGCCAGCGCAGCCCCAGCCGGCGCCGGCCCTGTCCAAGGACTCCAAGGAGTCTGCCGGCAAGGTGCTGTCGACGCCGGGCTCGACGGTGCGTGCGACGCTCTCCTCCAAGCCGTCGCTGCCGCCGATCGCCCAGCGCTCGTCACAGGTACGACGGGTGGCCGAGCAGCCGCCCAAGCCGCGCTCCACGGAGCCGCCGAGAGACGAGCAGCCGGAGCCGCAGGCCGCCCCGTCCCGCTCCACCACGGCCGGACAGGACGTGCTGCCGGCTATCTGAACGCGGCATAATAGGTGACCAACACTAGTCAGTAACAGACCGAGACGGACAATCCAACAGCTCAGCGTCCCTGGCTTTATAGTCTACAGGTTTGTCTCCACTAAAGGAAAAAGACAGGGTAGAAAAGTCGATATATTTAAATATCTTTCAGCTTGCAACGCACATTTAAATATCCTTCAGCTTGTAACGCACGTGCAAATACAGCGAATTACCAACAGCACCATCATCTTGTGTCATAGTTTCTCTGTAAATCACAGACAGCCCGCTTCGGAGGCAAGGCTCGCTCCGGTCCCTTCGTTCCCAGTCACCTCACTGAGAGCAGCAGCTCCCACACTCTCCACCAGGCCTTCCAACATCTGCCGGCATACAGCAGGGGCCGGCAAGGCACCCGGTCAGTGCCGGCAGGCGACCGAGCGCTAACAACGTTCAACAGTCCAGGCCACGCGGTGTTGTGCTCAATTCCCTGACTAGACCTCGTGTACCGCGCTGGTCTCCCACTGTGATACCTCCGATACTGCGTCCTGGCAAGGGAGCCGTGCGTTGCCCTGACACCACAGTGAGGCGGTATCACTCGGCGACCAAAGGGGGACAGGATTCGCCACAGCTCGTTTTAGAGCAGTCACCCGCGCGGACTGGGGTGACATCCACCCGGGGTATACCCGCACACTACCCGCGCTCAGCAATATATACGCACACCTTAAACACACGTAAACATACACATACAGCCACCCGTCAGCACGCAAAGGAAGCACAAGGCCCGTCCGGCGGGTCACCACAGTCCCTCCCGCACTCCTGCCACCTGGCGGCAGCGCCTCGCATCACAAACAGACACCGCTCGAGTCTGTACCGGGTGTAAACATGACCAAAGTGAGCACCGAGCGCACGTAAAGCACAGCTGGTGACTGACATGTAGGAAGTCACAGCTATCTCTGAACTATTTCTCTATGATATGGAAGTACAGGTTACCTGCATGACACCCCATTGAAAATTGTGACATAAGTACTAAGTGACTCATGGAATTGGAGCTGCTATCCGTTTTATAGCAGAGTTTCTGAAGTACATATATCGAAACAAAGAACCACAAAGCACCAGTCTCCAATGGACAGTAAAAAGTAGAAGTAGATACAGCATGAACACATCAATAAGTCCCCAAATCCCCATATTGTATACCTAACTATTATACTTACCTAACACTACACTTCGTTTCAAGGCAAAGACAGAACACTTCACGCGCCACAATCATCACACTGCTAGCAGGGCTTCTTTCTTCTTCTTCTCAGCCTTAGCCTTGTGTTTGCCGTTCTTGTGCTTGTCCTTGCCATGGTTGAACAGTTTGCCGAGCTGGCCGCGCCGCTGCTGATCCGTCTCGGCGGTGGGCTCCGACTCCGGCGTGGTGGGGGCGCCCTCGGTGCCGCTCTCTGAGCCGCGCGAGCGCCCCCTGGTCGGCAGCAGACGCCGCAGGAAGCCCCGACTGGCGGACCGCGGCTGCGCCTCGGCCGCCGCTGGCTTCTCGGGCGGCTCGCAGGCGGCCGGCACGGGGGTGCGCGGCACGGCCAGGGCGCCCGAGGTCGAGTTACAGCGCGCCTTGGACTGAGCGGCGGCCGCTGGTGCCGGCCGACTCTCTGAGACTGACGACGAGATGGACCTGCGGCGGGGGCCGGTGGCAGTGACTGTACCACGGAAACCGACCCGTGGTGGAGAGGATGGCTAAATGAGGCGACAAAAGGCACCGATCCAGAAGACGGAGAGGAACGCCGAAGGAAGCATCAATAGGCACCGACCCAAACGCCAGAAAGGAGGAACGAATGAGGCGACTGGACCCTTGGCATCTACACAGGGGACCGAGCTTTACCATAGTCACCAACACAGCGGACGGAGGCGGCAACTGAATGAGGAGCGGAAAAGTTTGACGGCTGAAGGAGGCGGCGGTACCACATGATTGCTGAAGGACATGGCGGTGCCATACGATTGCTGAAGGAGGCAACGGTACCTACTGATAAATGGAAACGCCAGAATGTCGCAGACGCAGTACCTCCCGGCACCGAACAAAAGGAGTTATGTTATGTTCCGTCTGACTGATAAAGGAGGCGGCAGCCAATAAGACATCAATCCGGAAGAGTATTCAATATGACGGCTGAAGGAGACGGCGAAAAAAATACCGACCTCGAGGACGGATATGACGGTGGGAAAAGGCGCCGATGCACGTTGATGCCTACCATGAGCAAAGCCTTATGATGGAAATGATGACATCATGAGGCGGCAATATCAGAGTTACAGACGAAGAGAATATGACCCTTTTGGCCAAAAGAGGTGATGACCAAGGCGAGCATTGCTAGGGATATATTTATAAGGACTCCCAACAGGATATAAATATATTGCCCACTACGCATGCGTGGCGCTACATGACAAAACAATACTGATTGTGTTCTTAGTTCAATGCTACTATTCTTTTTTATAGTTCGACATGCCGCCCGATATGCTGCCTACGTAAGCTCTAGACACTAATGCTCGCACGAAGTCATGTCCACTGGAATTTTAACAAAAAAAAAAAAAAACAATGCCACTTTGAGCGCCAGTCAGCTGTGAGCTGAGCGTTATGGCCGTCCCAAACGCAGTCCGTTGGAGTTAAGTCCTACAAGAATTACTGAAATCGGTTCAAGCCCGGAAGGTGTCATGTAGCTTCATGTGCCAGTATAACGGTGTAGTATGTATGTCAAGCCCCGCAGCAGGTGTCAGTCCGACGCCGGCACTCACCTGACGCGGGTGGCCATGGCCACTTTGAGCGTGTCGTACATCTTCTCCCAGGGATCCATCAGGCCGATCCCGCGGGTGAAGTCGAGCCGCGAGCAGTACATCAGGTACGAGGGCAGCGTGCACTTTTGGTACACGCACGGAAGCAGCATCCGACCCCGCTTGTCTGCGGGTAACAACACATATTTAGATACAGAAACTGGAGTCATGGGGTGAATTTCATTGTTTCGAAAAAAAACATGCATAATGCATATACCTTAAATAAACACCTTGTAGGAAAAACTGCATTGTTTAAGGGATTCGATCTCGCCCGAATTCCCGCATAGCACAACATATATTGGCCAATGATAACCTTCTGAGTTTCTGAACCAGTAACAAAAAGGATATTCGGGGAATTTGTCCTTTCTCCGCTAATCATATCGATCCTCAAGTCCGGTAAAGTCATCTGATATGCATAAGACGCGAATACCACCCACTCCAGCCAGCCACTCACCGAGTCCGAGCGCCTGTGCGAACATGGCCAGGAACTTGTTGACGGCCGACTCGAGGAAGCGGGGCGAGAGGACGGCCAGCACGCGGTGGCAGCGCGTCTCCATCAGCCGGATGATGCCCTGGTGCTCGAACGTCACCCCGGGCAGCAGGTGGCGCTCCTTGTCACACAGCTGCCGGAGCGGTGGAGGTGGCAGTTAACCCGCGCCCCGTAGGGCTACCGGCGGACCCTACCACCCGTAGGGGGGGGGGGGGCCGTTTCGGCCCCCCCCCCTAAGATCTCGGAAAGTTACCGGCCGATTTTCAAAATTCAAACGGCGTTCGATAGCCCCACCCGGGAACTACCTTGTGACCAAATTTCATTGACCTAGGTCAAACCGATGACGTCACAGGTCAGGTCAAAGGTCAGATTTTCACCGTTCACAGGCAATTCAAGAAATGTGCTGTGAAAGCGAGTAAATTGGTAATTTATTGAAAACCATCGATGGTACATTGTTCGTCAAACACATACTTTGCTATCTGAGGTCACTGATACCAGGTCAGGTCACAGCGAGGTCAGGTCACCGGGGGTCACAATATGAATGTGTCGTGTGATACATGTTTTATGGTCCATTTTACATGACAAATGCGATTATGTGGGTTAGGCAGCCTTTGGGGCCAGCCTAGGTCACGTTTTGGTGAAGGTCAGGTCAAGGTCAGGTCAAATTAGGTCAAATTTCAAAGTTGATATTTTTGCATAAAATGGGCATCAATTCGATGCAGCTCGTCACGGGGAGTCTAATGGTGGTCTTCGTTTTGCTCTACGAGTTCTAGAATTGCCAAAAATTGAGTTTGAAAATTTGACGTCATCATTTTTGAACAGTTTTTTCGCTATAACTTGGCCAAAAAACGAGGTATCGATCTGAAATTTGGTATGTAGATAGAAGACGGTAGGCACTATCACATATATTCCGGTTTTTTTCGAAACTCAAAAAACTTTTTGGATTTTTTGGCGAATATATCCAAAAAAATGCTTTTTTGATTTTTGGGGGCCAAAACTCAAAAATTTCAAAAATTCGAGATAGCAGTCTTGTAGCCCTGTCAATTCTACACCTTTTATGTCTTGATCATTTTTCTGTATCTTCAAAGCTGTAGTCCTGACAGGTCTTCTCGCGAAGGTCTTTTTTCGGTCGAAAATGACAGAACATGACGTCACTCTGACGTCATTTGTGGCCAACCTATCATAGCCTCTGGAAAAATTTTTGGTCACAATGTGTAAAATTGATGCCCGGAGGGGTCCTGAAAGTTTGGTGGCGATATCTCCAGCCGTTTAGGAGATATCGACCGAAAAGGACAGGGGGGGCCGTTTCGGCCCCCCCCCTACGGGGCGCGGGTTAACGGCGGGCTGGCGGAGCACCCATCAGCGGGGAGCTTTGACAGGCATCGGTCCTGTAGCTCAGTTGGTGAGCGTTGCACCCCAAATAGCAAGAGCCCTGCCTCGAGTCGCTACTGTACATGCTATACGATACGAGACTCCTAGTTTGCGGTTGGTGGTCGGCCTGTCCATCCGGACGGGCTCACCCCAGTGACTCTCTAGGGTGCCTGCCCAGACCAATGTCTCCCCCTAATAATTCCTATCATCCTCCCGACTCTGAAATGGTCTCAATGGAGCGAAAGGGCCTGACCCAACAAAACACATAAAAATATGCGGTAGATGGGAGCAGCCGCAGCCAGTTAAAGTCATTTGAGTGGGACCCAGTCCAGTTTTGACGGACACGCTTAACTTTGGCGTTCTATTTTTCCGATCAGTGGTACCCGAAACTGCCCGATAGGACGGTTAGGGCCGTGGCCTAGGCAACAAGCTCTGGCTACTGAGGGCGTTGACTAAATCTACCCGTCCATTCAAATTTTCGTACTAAATTTACTGTTTTTAATCGTTCGCAGCCGCCACCCAAACATACAAATATGAGCTTACCGCTCAGAGAGACCCTTAGCCTTTTAACACACAGCCTGATTGAAGCCAGTGACAGTAAGTTGATAAACGTAACATCCCTGATAGTATGTATCAACCAGCGCATGATTGTGCGATATGGACACACCATAGCGTACCTACTTGTCGAGGCTATGACGAAGTAGGTCCGGAGCAAGCATGACTTTGACAAGCATGACTACATGACAAGCATGACAAGAAAAGAAACTGAGGAGTTGCAGTTGTGACGACTGGAGTGTCATAATCCTTACAAGACAGTTGTAAGGATTACGCAAGGAAGGCAGTCAAACGAACGACACAAGCCACACCGCAAAATCATCAAATACATATTCCGTGTATGTCCTCTTTCAACCCACTGTTCAGTGACCCACCTTAATGCCTTGGTGCTGCAACACGTCATGACCTATGACCCAGACCTCGGCCCACCTTGACGCCTCAGTGCTCCACGACTATATGACCTCTGACCTCTGACCCCTGACCCACCTTGATTCCCCTGTCCTCCATGCGTCGGACGATCTCGGCGGCAAACTCGGCGTCTCCGTCATCGTACAGCAGAAATGCGTCAAAGGTCGGCAGCGGCTGACCGTTTCGCAGACACTCGGCGTCGCCTGGAACCAGACGGGGGAGCACGTGACGAGGGGACGTGATGTAGCCATGGTGACAAAATTAGGCTGAAAATAACAGGAACCTGCGGCGTAAGCACATATGGAGTACGGAATCTAGTGTTACACCGTATTATGGACTGAGCCAGATAAATCAAGCCATACTTTCAATATATGCCCTAAGTAGGCATCCACTGTAGCATAACCAAACAAAGGGCTGGTGACAGCCGCCGCCCATGGTCAGTGTCGCCCGGTTGATAAACACTCGAGGAGTCGGTCCGAGTACGCAATCAGATTGACCAGTCACTACGAGTGCTCGACAATCAGTAAACAGAGAACAAGAGTGGCCGGGTATCAGCTATGATTACGCTGACAAACAAAATAAAATGACTGCCGACTGTTTCGTAAAGCAAACAGCTCCAATGGAAAGCATTTGATTACATAATGCAGGCTTACATAATGTAGGCTGTAGTTGTACCATGCCGAAACAACCACTCAAGGCCAAGTTAAATACGAGAATGTGGTTCAAAGAGCAGATGTAGATATTTATCGCAAATAATTATAATACTACGTCCTGAGTAATCTTACGCTAAACCCCTGACCCTTCCCTAGCCTGACAGACCCTGGCTAGGAGTCATACTACTCTGCTAACGCTGACACTATATGCCAGTCACCTGGGGCGAGGCTAGTCCACGTCTCCTTACTGACACGGAGGGTAGCTCTGACACGGCACACCTATTTCTGCTTCGGGCTCTGACTCCTTACCGACACAGAGCAGTTCCTCGTCGTCACCGGCGGAGCCGAGCGGGAGGGCGCTGCTGGTGCGTACCGAGCCCGAGAGCCGCTCCTGGTACCGAGCCACGTCCGCCGCTGTCGGTACGCGGAGGTACAACGGGGTGCAGTCACATGGGGTGAAGGTAGCGAAAGACTTGGGAAGGACTAACTGGTGACTGGGGAATTATGGAACAGGCATACAACTGGCGATTGCATATTATATCGTGGCATCCAACTGAGTACTGTGTGTGTACTGCAAGTATTCTTACACGTAACACGCATGGTGGTATGGCCCCCGATATAACTCCAGCCATAAATACCTACGTAGCAACTGACAATATCGCGAGTATCGTGCCTTACGTACCGACGATGTCCCGAGTATCACACCGTACGTACCGACAATGTCCCGAGTATCGTCCTACACGTACCGGCATTGTCCCGAGTATCGTCTTCTACGTAACGAAAACTTCCCGAGTATCGTGCTGCACATACCGACAATGTCCCGGTTATCGTCCTGCACGTGGAGACTTTATCCCGAGTATCATCATACTGCACGTACCGACAATCGATTGTCTCGAGTAACGTCCTCCACGTACCGACTACATCCCGAGTCCTAACGTCCTCCACGTACCGACTATTTCCTGGGTATCGTCCTGCACATCCAGCCGTCCGATGGCCGCCAGCGCAGTCCACAGCTGACCGACGGGCAGCGCGCGGCAGTGCTCCAGCAGGGCGGCCGCCGGACTGGCCGCACGACCCAACTGCTGCTGCCGCTCCATGTCGCAGTCCAGGCGCTGCGCCAGGCCGCGCCAGTCCCTGCAGATAGGCAGAGGCATCAGCGTAACCAGCGGGAGCAGCGTCAACATTGTTATCGAGTTGCTGCAAGATCTCATAAATCAGAGCTTATTGGAAAGGGCACAGTACAAAAAAAAAAAACAGTGCCAACAAAAATGGGGTGGTCCATCCTGCATAAGAACGTACATGAGTACTTAAAGGGACTATCCCACCTTCTAAAATGCTGTTAAAACCAGTTAAATTGTGCCCGACTTTATAGATTGGATGACCAGGAACACGGTTCTGGCATTTATTTTTAATTAAACATCTTAGGCTTCCCATATTCCAAACACAAACATTCAAATATGTGACGTCACAGCCCAAAATTACCTCCTTCCCCAGGCCACATTACTGTCATAAAGCTGATTCTTTTTACTCTGTAGGCACCACAACAAAGTTCAGACCAAGTTTTAAGCGATTTTTCAACGAACAAACCCATTTAAATCAGAATGACTAAACTAGGTGACGTCACACTAACGGTCGCTCCATGTTGAAGATAGGGCCTTGCGCAAGGCCCATTTTCAAATGAAGGGAACGAATTTCTTCAACACCAAGAGGCCGCGGGGGTTGCAACCTAGATAGATAGTGGTTTCTGAACCTCGCCGCAAACTTGGCTATCTCAACTCAAACCCCATGTTAAAGGTGGGATAGTCCCTTTAAAGTACTTAAAACATACAGGAAATATTTCAAGCTTAATGTTGTGTATTACCTAGGAAGCCCTTCATCAGAGGTGAGAATTTTCTGTCCATTGAGCATCAGCGCCAGTTTGTCCTTGGTGGGGGAGGTGAGAGCTGCTATGGGGCTCTCAGAGCTGTCCAGGTCACCCATCTGTGGAGGCAAAACAGATGGTTGGTCAGCCCATCGCACTTAACCCTCGCCCGCACATGGGGGGGGGTGGTTGCCACCCCCCCCAGGTAGTCTTTCTGCTCTGCACTCAACATTTTTAGCGCTAGAAGGCTGATTTTTGGTATAGCTGCTCCTCTATCCTTTCTTAATGTCCACTGAAAATTTCAAGTTTCTGTGATTTTTGGTTTCGGAGATATGACCTTGTTTTTCAGGTCATGTCATGACCCAAATGACCAATTCTCAACATCTTGCGATTGCCATGGGCCTTGCGAGCTTTTGACACCCTGATTTCGGCCTTTTTTGCCAGTCTTACCTCCCACCTATCATGGAACATGTTGTTCGGCGATGTACAGGGGTCAAGGTCAGGGTCAAGGTCAACCTAGGTCATCTAAGATAATTGCGTTTTAGGCAAGCTGAATTTACTTTTTTTGAACTTTTTTGACTGCATTTTTGGCAAAAGCTTCTCAGAGCATGATTTCATGTAATATGGACCCAAAAACAATCGTTGCACACATCAGTATACACACAGACACACACAGACATACAAACACATATAATTGACCTTGACCTAACTTGACCTGAAATGACCTCAGCCGCAAAATTCTGGTCGGGTAGTGTGACAAAGAGGTTCTAGCTGGCCTGGCACCAGAAAACAGCATCGTCATCGGTATTTGATAAGCAGCGCACTTGATATCCAACGGTGACCCAAAACAGCAACATTTTTTAGTTTGACCTGACCTGGAAGGTCAATGACTGACCTGAGAAGGTAAAACTGGGTATCATTGGATTCGTCTCTTCCCAAAGAATCTTTTTGGTCTTTACCGCTAAGCTCTATCTCCAACAGGAACGAAATGGCGCGGGGGGGGTGGCAACCACCCCCCCATGTGCGTTCTAGGATGGGAAAATGGCATGTGCGGGCGAGGGTTAATGAAACCTGTCAGCCATAGAAATGATAATTCACCATAGAATATAGCATGACCAGACTGGAAAACATCCACACACTACGCCGGATGCACGTGAGACCCTCATGCGCCGAAATTCGGCGCAAGCGATTTTGCGCTGAAATTACTGCGTGATTTGCGCCGAAAGTTGGAAGTCTATTTGTGCCAAATTAAGCCACTTTCACAAAAAGCACATTGCATATCTAGTTCTACCGACCAAAGCTCAGAGTGTTTAGGGTTTGAGCGTCCAAATAAGTTTATGTTTCCATGAAAATCCAGTTCCACAATATGCATAGTGCACTACAGCGTCGTGCCGTGATACAAGGGCCGAGCCGGAAGCTCTATGGCCACAAAAATCGGCGGAGCGGTGTGTTCGAGACTGGCGGGCGCCAGCGAGGGCCGGGCAGCGGAGTAGCACGTGCTTCTGGACATCAGCCTCTTCTCGGCACACGGCGCAGAGCGCCGCGGGGGACTGCTTGTCCAAGCACTGTTGGCATGCCGTGGAGCGGAGACGGCTGATTCGGTGCACGTGCTGGAGCGAGCGCCCCCAGTGGTCCGCCCTCATCTGATGCACCAAAACGGCGTCTTCCAGAGGGGTGTTCACGGGCACCGCACACTGCTGCGTGCGGTGTGTGCGGTGCGTCCAGCAGGCGTGCGGTGGACAGTCCCGACCGTGGCCAGTCCCGACCGGCCACAGCGGTCACTGTGTGCGGTGACGGAAGGCGGACGTAGGGACGCAGTGGGCGGAGCTTGGAGGCTGTGTGCGGTCCGACCGCACACAGGGCCCGTGAACAGCCCTCAGGTCCTCTCAGAGGATGGCAAGCTGCAGCGTGCTCCCGAAGAGTTGCTTGAATAGTGACTCGGACCAGGTGTTGCATCATTGACGCGAGGCCACACAATGGACCGCCCTTTTTTGCCAGGTCGTCCACGCTCTCATTCCTTCGATCCCACAGTGGGCAGAGCCTGGAACCCACTGCAAGATTACTTCACAAAATTCAGCCATGTTCAACAAGGTCTTCTAAAACTATCTCTGCACTGGGGGTGGAGGCCTCACCTCACCTGGGTGAACGCTCTACTGAATAGACTCAGGGCGGCTCAAAAGTCTGAGCACGTGAAGACCGGGGCAGGGGGCGTCAGGTCCCGAACCCTCTCCAGAGCCACCTGCAGGGTGAATCTGCACCTAGATTGACCAGCGAGCCGAAAAATTTGGTGACTGTCACTGCCATCGGCCAAAAAACTACGAGGCCACCCTGTGCTGATAAATTCAATGGACGCCATGCACTGAATTTAGCGCATGCAAAGTTATGCTGTACGCGCGCTGAAATTTTTGCAGCAATCCCATCACTACACCGGACATACTTGGCATAACGTGCTTTTTTTCCAATCTGGTGTCAGGGAACATCCTTACAGTTACAAGGGCAGTGCAGGAAGGGTGTGAGCGACTCTTGTCAATGTTGATGTTAGGCAGGTTAAAGTGGCGGCGAGTTCAATGATTCATCAGGCAGCGCAGCGCGTCAGCACATTAGAGGAGTTAGAGGGGCTCTGTAAACAAGCCGAAGCAGTATAAAAACATTAAAGGATGTAAGTCGGAAAGAAAGCACATTTGGAACAGCTGGTTGTGTCAAGTAAGTTTATTATTGCTACCTTTCGTGGCTCTCTCCTTCTTCACTTCAAGTAAAATAAGGAAAAACTCGGATAATTCACGACACTCCTTTGCTATGAAGAAAGTCAATCAAACAAAATTCAGCGTGTTCTTGCCGGAGGATTACAACAATGCAGGGTATATAGAGACCAATAGAGGCCCACTTTAAGAGAAAAATATTTTGCATCTCATCCGCGCAACCTCCACCAGAACACGTTTTCACGAAACAAATGCGCTAGATATGCCTACACTTTCCAAGCTTTTTTTCGTATCTTATGTCAAATTACAAAAAAAAATTAAGAAATTATCTTTAATTAGCAGCATATTATTAAAGTCATAAATTTATATTTAGTATATTTGAATCTATCATTGACAAAAATTAAGCATTTGCAAAAACAAATGCTTTAAAATATTATATGACGTCATTATTGACTAAAAACTATTTTGTGCGCCTGCAAAACAATACATCGGTCTTGAAGCGAGATTGCGCACGAAGTGGCTCTTCTCTCATCCATCACCACTCAAATTTGTTTTTATTTCAATTTTGATGTATAAGTTAAGTCAGGAGTGGTTGAGGAAGTGATAACCGGGCTCAAATACAAGAATTCGTGGCGACCCGTAAGCAAGCATAACCTTGAGCTTGTTCGTCGTTGGAGGAAGGCATACCGAATACAACCTACAACTTGGAAGAGCAAGATCAAGATACATCAACATTGACATGGGATTGAAGATGTGTTCTTGCCTCAACTTCTTTTTACCAAGCTCAACCTTTCTCAGAAATTGAAATTGAGGGCGATGCAGCAAATATTTATCTATTCCATTTCCCAAATCCACTTGTTTTCATAGATATGCAGCATACACGCTTATGATGCTTGCTTGGGTCGGACAGAAACTTTGTCGACTGCTACGAAAGCCACCTGTTCTGGCTTTTATCTTGCTGTTGTCACTAATCTATTGTTTAATGAGCTTGCTTGATCAGGTGAGTTTGTTATGTCTGCTTTTATTTTTTTATGTTTAGAAATGTGTAAGCTTCCTAATATTACGGCTATTATTTTTCAGTTTAAGTACCAATGCTATGCTAAATCAAAATGGTAGAATTGGTATGAATGACTATTGACAAGTGAGATGCATGTTGGTGCTCCCTGTTGTGATGTGTAGGTATAATGATACATAGATTTATCATTTGAATTGACATCAACTCTACAATTCAATTCAAATTGACTTTTTTGTCACTAATTTGGATTCATTTTATTGCATGAAGGTTTTTCTTTTCCTCAGATTTATACTATCTAAGAAATAACACCTATGAGTAGACTAGATCTGTCCTGTGCATATTATAGTTTCATTTTTTCCTGGTTATAACTGGTGATATGGCCTGATTGGCCTGTTTCTATGTTGTAATTGATAATTGGCTTATCATCAACCATATCTGACCTCACAAGACCAGACTATAGCAGACTGAGATATCTGTAGGCTGTGCAGACCACAGGGAATTTAGTGACCACACATCTTGTCTGTGTGACCTTGTCTTTTGCCTGTGTAATATGTTTTGTGTATGTTCAGTCTACAGGGATATGCCTGCTTAGAAGATCCATGTTTTTAGGTATTCTGGGTGTGATTTGGCCTGATTTATGTCTGAACAGAAGACCTTGAGTCTGTCCATCTCTGACCTGGCCTGGCCCTCTGCCTGTACAGACTACAGAGGGTGTGTCTGTGTATTCTATAGAGCATTGCCATTCCCAGGTTGATCCTGATGGTCCTCTGTCTGTGCAGAGAGTCCTATGTCTCTCTAGGTATGTCCTGACATTAATGACACCCTTTCAGAGGCTGCTGACCCTGTCCAGCTCAGACCCAGATGACCCGGCCGCGCGCCCTCCGATCAACCCGTCTCTGATCCTGGAGTCGGTCCGCCCGGACAGCAACACGACCGACGATCCCGGCCCGGTGGCGCTCAGCTGCCGAAACTCAGTCCAGGGCATCGAGCTCATCGCCGACGACAGAGGTGGGCGGGCGGGGAGGGGGCAGAGGTGGGCGGGCGGGAGGGAGGGGACAGAGGCGGGCGAGCGGGAAGGAGGGGACAGAGGTGGGCGGGCGGGGAGGGGACAGAGGTGGGCGAGTAGGGGACAGAGGCGGGCGGACGGTGAGGGGACAGAGGTGGGCGGGCGAGGGAGGGGACAGAGGTGGGCGGGCGGGGAGGGGGCAGAGGTGGGCGGGCGGTGAGGGGACAGAGGTGGGCGGGCGGGGGAGGGGGCAGAGGTGGGCGGGCGGTGAGTGGACAGAGGTGGGCGGGCGGGGGAGGGGGCAGAGGTGACCGGGCGGGGGGAGGGGACAGAGGTATGCGGGCGGGGAGGGGACAGAGGTGGGCGGGCGGGGAGGGGGCAGAGGTGGGCGGGCGGGAGGGAGGGGACAGAGGCGGGCGAGCGGGAAGGAGGGGACAGAGGTGGGCGGGCGGGGAGGGGACAGAGGTGGGCGAGTAGGGGACAGAGGCGGGCGGACGGTGAGGGGACAGAGGTGGGCGGGCGAGGGAGGGGACAGAGGTGGGCGGGCGGGGAGGGGGCAGAGGTGGGCGGGCGGTGAGGGGACAGAGGTGGGCGGGCGGTGAGTGGACAGAGGTGGGCGGGCGGGGGAGGGGGCAGAGGTGGGCGTGCGGGGAGGGGGCAGAGGTGGGCGAGCAAGGGTCAGAGGTGGGCGGGCAGGGGAGGGGACAGAGGCGGGCGAGCGGGAGGGAGGGGACAGAGGTTGGCGAGCGGGGGAGGGGACAGAGGTGACCGGGCGGGGGGAGGGGACAGAAGTAGGCGGACGGTGAGGGGACAGAGGTGGGCGAGCGGGAAGGAGGGGACAGAGGTGGGCGTGCGGGGAGGGGACAGAGGTTGGCGAGCGAGGGTCAGAGGTGGGTGTGGGGGACAGAGGTGGGCGAGTAGGAGTCACAGGTGGGTGTGCTGAGATCAGGGGTGGATGTGGGGGTCAGAGGGGGAGTGCGCTGAGGGCAGAGGGGGAGTTCGCTGAGGGCAGAGGTCAGAAGATACTGGTCTGGCATCAATTACACTGATGCGGTGAAATAAATTATGTTGGATTATGTTGGATACTAATGATATCGGTTGACTGTGACAGACGGAGTTGAGCAACCCAAAGATGGAGCGTTGCTCGTTCCGTCTTTAACGCGGGATTTCCTACGCGGAGCAGTCCTTTCGAAATCAACTACAGACCTTCATTTGAAGTACATAGATAGAATGTATTTCCATGACGTATCCAAGTTTCGGCCACCGTCTCCGTTGTCGCCGCGCCCCTGACCGCCCCCCCCCCCCCCCCCGCCCCCAAGGTCACGTGTGTGAACGGCGGCACCTGGTGAGCACTGGCTGCTGCGACACGGAGATACCGTCCACGCGGCGGTACCAGTGTGACTCGTGCTCGGAGCACGGCTGCTGCAGCGTCTACGAGCACTGCATCTCCTGCTGTCTCCACCCGGACAAGGTAGCCGCCGAGCGCATCCCCGGAGGGACGTACTCAGCAGTGCACATACGAGTACAGGGCAGTGCGCGAGTACAGGGCACGGGGCATGGTTCAGGATCGGGTCGAGCACGGGGCTGTTTATCGGACCGTAAATGACTCGGCTTTTGGCTTTGAGTGATGGCCTCGCCGCACTTTGTTCGCTTGTGTTTGTAATTTAATGAAGCATGACTTAACACTCGTGGTCGTAGGTATTGCTGAATTGCTGAATAGTATGTACGGTATGGTCGCACGCACACCGCACACCGCACCGCACGAGTCGTCAGGCTCGCTCGGTTGTTTTCGTCTAACCCTCCCTTCTCTGTCCGCAGAAGCCGCTGCTGCACACGGTTCTCGGTAAGGCGTCCCAGCACCGGTACAACCTGGTCTACTCGTCCGTGACGGACCAGTTCGAGCTGTGTCTGACCAAGTGCCGCACCAGCTCACTGAGTGTGCTCCACCAGAACGTCTATAGGAACGCGCGCATGAAGTTCTGCTACGGTGTGATGGCGCCGCCCCTGGACAGGACTGAGTGAGTGAGACGGGACTGAGCGACTGCCCCGGGCAGAGCGGTATCCGTGCGTCTGCCGACCGCAGGCAGAGTGATGGGGTAGGGAGGGCTGGCCGCCATCGGGCTGCTGCTGCTGAAGGTACAAATCTCGCCGACCGCTGGACGTCGTCCTACTGTGCTGAGTGGTGGAGCCCAGTGACGCCGCTGATCGCGGTCGGCTAATGAACTCCCAGAGACGGCGGCTCTGCGGTCTCTGTCCTGGTCACAACACTGTGATGCCGCGTACCCGAGCGGCGGGGACTGTCCTCCGCTGCTCTGAGGACACCCAGCGTGTGCGCGGGGTCCGCCGCCCGCTGCCGTTATGAAGTCAGTGCCGCGGGCCTCGATCGGCCTCAGCGGCCCCTCTGGTGATCGGTGCCAAAGTTTTACACGACACTCCCGGCCGCCTGCGCTGCGGGCTGGAGGAATGAATGGTGCTGGTTTTAGGTTGAAGGTTCTTTAGTCGGCTGATAATGTCTCTGGTTCGGCGCTGCAGCCTTTCTGAGTAGAACCTCAATCCTACACGATGCGCTATTGCCAGTCGTCCCACGCACCGTTACGTCGTTTTTACACGCTACTGTAGAACATTCCTTTTATTCGGCGCAAGAGCTTATTTCGTTTTGCGACACTCACCACTGGTGTGTATGTTTGTGACCAGGCGATCTGCTGGGTTAACGTGGACTACTTGCGTGTCATGTGGACACTTCTGCTATTCGCATTGTTATCAGTTATCGAGCTGCGTGCAATCTCCGTTGCGGTACTGAACGTTTTAACCTGTGACTCGAGGTGATCTGGTAGAGACAGCCCCTGCGCTGCTCAATGCCCACTGCGATAATAAACATTAGAGTATACGTCATTACTCCCATGTCCAGTGCGATAATACACATATTGATGAATCTACAACTGTGCTCATGGCGCACTTTCCGTGCCCGAGCGTGGTTAGCGTCTTGTTGGCACTCTGCCAGCAGTCGTCTGGCCCCCCTGACTAGCCGATGTGTTAGTTATGTCTGGCACTAATCAGTGATCTTGTCCCCACCGTCGGGTCAGCCAGGTGTCGCCGCTGACCTGCGCCCGCTATCTGACCTGGCATCAGCTAGTCTGTTTTCTAATCGACCCTCGTCTAGTCAGTAAGCAGGTGCATTCTGCGAGGGTCTGCGCACGCTGCGACGGTGGCCATGGCCTTGTCTGTGACCTGACTTGGACGGTCGCAGTGGTGCACAGGGTTCTCGGCTGACTGGTGCTGTGTCTCGACAGGATTGGTCGGGGCTACGGTAGCCTGACCGGTCAACTTGGAGGTGTGAGTGGCACGCACGGCGAATCGTGTCAGTGTCTGGTCGTGACCCATCAGTGCCAGTGTCGGTGTCGGACCCCGTTAGGCGCGGCGCGCGGCCGGCGATGGGCTCCTGCGGCAGTCGCCGGCCGGCCCCGGTCCTGGCCGACTCGTCCCTGCTCTCCGGTACGGCGTTGTTCCGCGCGCGGCCGCTGCCGGTGGCCTGGAGCCAGGTCCGAGTCACCGGGTACCCGCTGCACGGCCGGCCGGCGCCGCGGCGCGAGCACCAGCAGCAGCCCCCTCTGTTCGGCGTGCCGGACGGCGCCGGGGAGGGGGCGGAGGGCGGCGAGCCCCACCCGCCGGCGGACAGCGCCCACTCGGCCCGGCCCGCCCGGTCGCCGACCTTTGACGAGCTCCCCACGATGGTGCTCCAGGAGCCGTGGACGCTCCAGGATACCATCTCCCTGGAGGCGCTGCCGCCACCGACCCCTTACGTTCGCGGCATCGACCTCGACGATGACGTCAGTCTAGAGGTGCCGGACGAAACGCGGCTGGGCGGCGCGAGCGACATCTACAGTGAAGATTCACCACATCAAGTTCCGGTTACGTCCGCTGCATGACACTGCTATCTAGAGGGCCGTCACGAAGAAATTGGGAATGTGATAATCCACCATGAGATCGGCGAGAGTGGCGTTGTAAAAGTTCCAGAACACTGGATGAACTGTGTTTTGGTCACTTGCAATAATCATCAATAACTATTTGCGATATTTCAACCTTCACTTGACTTATCAACTGGAACCATGAACTGCGAGTGTTGAGCTGATTTTGTACCGGTAGCGCCTAGACAAATAGGCATTAGGCAGTAGGCACCGTTTTGGCTTTTCACCTTTGACTGTTGCAGACCTTGACATGGGCAAACTAGCTTTGACACTTGATTATGACAGCTGAGCAGAGCAGGTGACTCTCTGGAGCAGACTTTGAACCGGTCGGTCCTCGTCAAATAAACATCGTTGTAGGTACTCGCATCCAGCGCTCATTCAACCGTCCGCCTAACGTCATCCAACCGTCTACCGTAAATGCGGGCGCAAAATGGCCATTGTGGTTGGCGCGCCCTAAAGCCCTAACAAATAAACAAACAAGTAATCGTCTATTGTCAGCGACTCAGCACATCAAAAAGCCGATAACATAAACGAAGCTGATGAAGTGAAACGGCATTTGTTGCAATAAAAAACAATAATATTTATATATCTCCTTGTTATCCGGCTTTCACGATTTGTGCAATGCGGATGTTAATAGCTTTTCAGCACTTATGGAATTGAAGCCGGCCGGCCGTTCCGCTTTGAAGCTCAGTCGGCACTCGGTGCAAGTCTTCACGGCTATGCACCGTCGCTACCCAACACCGCCCCCCCCCCCCCCCTCCAGCGGTCGTCGGTGCGCCGTCGGGCGCCGCTGTTGGTGTGATTGTTTGAGCGTCGCCCAGTTACCGTCCTCGGGAGGGAGGGGCGGGTCGGCGCCCCGGGCGACTCGGCCGGGCTGTCGGCTGGCTGCGGCCGAACCGGGGAGCCGCGCGGTGGACGCCGGGTCAGGTGTGACGGACGGGATCGGGAGCAGCGATGGGGGCAGAGGCAGCGCCTGGGGCGCCGGCTCAGCCGGACGCGCTCTTCACGGAGCCGTGGATGGCCAACTGCGCCCAGCAGGTCAACTTCCCGAACCCGGCCTGTCAAAAGGTGAGCCGCCTGGCACATGCCAATTGCCAAATGGCCTTACGCAATAGCTTATGCATTATGCAATCACTGCCTGCCGCCCTTTGGATGTTATGTTTGTTGGTTTGAGGTTGTGGGTATGGGGCACTTTCGTGCAAGGGGTGGGCACTTCCATGCACCCCGCAAAGCTCGAGGAATTACCGGGCATTACCAGAAATTTACCAAAAGAACAGGCGCGTAACCACCACTGGGGACACTGGGGATCGGTCCCCAGTAACTTGTGGGTTACTGGGGACCGTCCCCAGTAAAACCAACGACCTTCTCAATTTGCTTGAATAGCAAAATATTGTCTCTAAATCGACGTGAAGAGTAATAGGTATGTAGTCAACGGAAGACAAAACTATGGATGTTTTGTTTAGGCCGCGCCCGAATGGGCCTCTCAGCCAACTTTGCCATGGCGGGGGGCCTTTTTGGCCACACCAGATTATCTCGGAAAGTAAGCAAGCTATAGAAAGACGCAGTAAAAAGCAACATATAGCTTGCTACAGGATCTTTCAGAATTATCTAGGAAATCTTTGATCAGGTCATCGCTGAGGTCACTGGAAGTCACCAAAGGTAAATTTTTACGAACTTTTGTTCCCGATTTTGACAGCTTTTCACACTGGCGGATCCAGGCTTGCGTTTTGGGGGGGGGGGGGGGCCAACTCATGCAGGAGCCAAACCTAGTGTATACCCCCAAATCCTGTTTTCTCATCGGATTTAGGCCACTTATTTTTCGTCACAGCCCTGACACTATGATTTTTTTTAACTAAAAAGAAAAATATATATAAATGGTAGCCCACCCGACCCATGCCTTTATATTACTTTGTAAACACTTACCATTGTTTTTATCGACCAGTTAAAGGGACCCTCCCACCTTAACATTAGATTTGAGCTGAGATAGCCAAAATGGGGTCCCTGGCTCACAATTACCGGTTTCGGCACGCACTCACAACATCGAGAAATGCCTTAAATCGGAAATATTGAATTTCAAAATTGCAGCATTTTGATTCAGAGGGGCTAATGCTTTTGGATACCCCTCTGAATGTGTGACGTCAGCGGAGATCTAATGATTTTTTAATATTTTACTAAAACGTTTGGTAGCATGCGGTGGTATAGGCTGCTTTGCGCGCAACAACTGCCGCACTTTCAAATAAAGTCGCTAGGAACAGCAGCGGATATCCCAAAAAGTAAACAAAAATAAAAGTCTAATCTCTTGAAAACCGGTGAATATTTTTCGATAAAATTTGGTAGATATTCGTTTTCGCCCTTTCTGAACCTAGCGACATCACTTTCATGCCAATTCATTAACTTTTTTGAAGGTGGGAGGGTCTCTTTAACCCGCTTCGAGTCAGTGCTTGGTCCCTTTGCGGGCCGGGAGGTGGTAAAACAGCCCTGTCTAACTCGGCTCCTGGGCCACGCCCTGATTGAACTATGTTTCATTATCGTTTGGGGGAGGGGAAAACGGGCCACTTTAGGCCTCTGGGAAGGGGGCATGGCCCTAAATGCCCCCTCCCTGGATCCGCCAGTGTAAGAAGAGACCATTGGAGCTGCAGTTGGGTACCTCAGACATCAGGGTACGCCCTCAGATGTATGTATAGGACTCGCATGGAGACCTTTTATGCTATAGTGTACTGAAAGGACCCAAAGGAGCCTGTCTATATGGGCTCCCGGAGATAGACGTGGGCCCTCAGGAGCCCGCCAGAGCCCCAATGAGGGATAAGTGAGGGATACCAAGTGCCTGCAATTGCATATTGCATGAGCCATAACGCCTTTACAAATCAATATATTATGCATCAGTGGCAGATCCAAGGGGGGCCACATGGGTCATGACCCCCTTGGTGCCCGGGGGCACCACAGGCCTGTCAGGGGCACCACCGGCCTAGTAGGGGCACCACCAGCCCGCCAGGGGCACCACAGGCCTAGCAAGGGCACCACGGGCCTGTGAGGGGCCCCACAGGCTTGTCAGGGGCACCCCAGGTCTGTCAGGGACACCAGAGACCTGCCAGGGGCGCCGCCGGCCTCGCAGGGGCACCATGGGCCTGTCAGGGACACCAGAGGCCTAGCAGGGGTACCACAGGCCTTACAGGGGCACCACCGGCCTTGCAGGGGCACCTTGGGCCTGTCAGGGGCACCACAGTCCTGTCAGGGCCCAGGGGCACCAGCGGCCTAGCAGGGGCACCTCAGGCCTGCCAGGGGCACCACCGGTCTAGCAGGGGCACCATGAGCGCTCAATTTTTTGAGCTTTTCCCCCTTGTGCGTGGGACTGAAACACCGCCAACTACCAGCCGCCGCGCCATAAACACGTGCCAACAACAGTCTTTTTTTTTAAGGTCGACTCCGCTCGCGCAACTTTTGACTGACCCTCACTGCTACTATATTGCTTCCATATTATGCTGTGGAAAGCTTTACTTCACCAAGTGGCTAAAAACCTCCATCAAGGTATATTTTCGTAGCAATTTTTCTGGCGTTTTGGGGGGCCAAACAGGCCACTTTAGGCCTTTGGGGGGGGGGCCATGGCCCCCGTGGCCCCCCCCCCCCCTGGATCCGCCAGTGGCTTTTCACACATCGGCACATATACGTAAGTCGGGAACCAATAGAGCTGCAGTGCTGCGGGAAATCGCATTCGATAGCTCTTTCAAAGGTCTTTATGAATAATGCTCTCAGATTTGACCTAAGGTCAACGGTTTAGCCTCCAGAGGCAAAAACTATCAAAAGTTGGCGTTTTTGCGGAAACGGTTTTTGTATCATAACTTTTGACTCCAAGCTTGTATGACGCTGATTTTACCGGCATTGCGTTTGTCTCGTCGAGACGCATCTAATGAACATTGAAACTTTTTATGTAGTGAGGTCACTTGACCTGACCTGGTGACCTGACCTTAAGAGAGCTG